AGAGTCGGGCTGAGCCAGCGCTGAGGGATCTGGGGGAGTTGGGAAGGGTCAGGGGGAGGTTCATGGTTGGGCTGGAGGAGCTTCAGGATCTTTTTCAACCAAGATGATTCTGTGATTTCAGGGACATTCCAGAACTTGTTACCATTTTTGAGAATGTATATGCAGGATATCTGATTCAGGCATAAGGTGGCTTTCAACCTGGATTTTTGTCTCTTAAGGGAGTGCCCTAATCAGCAGATGCTTGGCTCTCCTAGTGTGATGCTGACTCAGTCTTTCTTCCTGGCATTGCTTTTTTTCTGTCTCTCTCCTCCTTTCCTCCATCACCCAAACAGATTTCTGAAGGACTGAAGTCTGTCTCAAACAGAAAAGATAAGAGTTATCAAAACCTGACCCTCTTTTCTTCATTGGCCAAGTCCTTGCACCAACCAGGCATCCTAGAGGGAAGCACCAGGGATGCCACAGACAGATGCAACACATCTCAGCCTAAAAGTGGCAGTGGGACAAAACCTGCACAAGCAGGACCTGGGAGAGCTGCATCTTCCCATCTCGCCCCAGGGGGCAGCACTGGCTGGAAGGGCTGAATGTACAGCCCCTGTAGGTCCTGAACTCTGCTGAGAAAGCCAGACACACAGCTGCTGGAGGGAGGCATGTCCAGATGGGGATTCACGTGAAGCCTTGACCATGACCTCAGCACTGACATTTCCTTTCCTAGCAGGGAAGGCAGGGTCTCTTCCTCTAGTTGGGGCAAAGCCTAACTCATTGAATATCCAGAGACACTCGCAATGTGCTTACTCCTCTCTACTCAAGGGCTCTTCCCACGAGATAAGTTGCCATGCTGACCCCTCTCTATCCCTCTCCAGACACTCCTGCCCTGTATCTCATCTCCTGAGTTCCCCCCATCCTACCCCACAGAGACCCCGCAGCTCTCTCATGTTCTCCTGACCACTTGTTTCCTACTGAATAGAATTTTTTCTTGCTTGGATACCAGTCAGTCACCAGCATGTTTAAATAATCTCCTACCTTTGCTCAATTCAGGCCTTCAGTGAGTAATTTATTAAACAACTGAGAGACAGTTCAGGTGACCTAGATGAACTTTATTAACATACTACAAATAATTAAAGATTTCTAACAAAAGAAATGGGCCTTGGAAACACTCATTTTAATTCTTAATCATCTTTGGTGTGTCTGCCACATAGGGTCACACAACGACCATTTTAGGGGAGTTGCAGGCCAGGGCAGAGATGCCCCAGATTCCTTCTGAGACTGACCCTGAAAGGACAGAAACTTGACGGGTGAGTCTAGGATGGCTGTGGGGTCACTGCTCCTGGACTGCGTGTCCCTCAGCTGCTGAACAGAGGCACAGCCCAGGCAGGGGTAAATCACTGTGAAACGTGGTGCTTTAAACTACACCCGCTCAGGTCACAACTGACCATCAGCTCAGGCAGCTCAGCAGAGGAGAAAGGCAAGCAGGGGCTTTGCCACCTCCTAGGGTCGAAAATAATAATCAGTGAGAGTCTCTGGCACAGAGTTCCTGAAAGGGAGCTTTCCCTTTCCATCCTTCGGGCACTGACTGCCTGGATGGAGGACAGACAAAAGATGTAACACTCCTACATGGAGAATAAAGCTCCCCAGGCTCAACATGCTTAAGCAAGACTCAATGGGAAGTCAGACCCATGTGCCCACAGCAAGGTCAGACAGGGTGTTCAGGGAGTTTAGTCTTGAAGCTTGATTTAAACACGCACTAATAAAGCAAGGCTTTACACAAAGCAGGATTATCCAAGGTTGCATCAACTGAATGAGCCCCTTCAGCACCAGAAAACCTAAATCAGTAGATAGAGAAATACTAATAATTTTGTCGGGAGCTACTGCCTTACTCCTGGAGGGCAGAACCTAAGGTAGATCGTGCTGCAGAGCTCCTGACAGCTGGTGTCAGCTGTACAGCCCAGAGATAAGAGCGGAGAAGGAGCCTGTCCATTACAGATGGATGCTGTCACCGAGGAGCCAGCCTGCGATGACAGAGGGACGCTGGTGTTCCAGGGCACCAGCAGCCAGTCAGTGAGTATTAGAATGATTCTGTGAATTTACTACACAGAGTAAATGATAACATAAATTAAAAAATTAATATATAAAGTCCACAGGACAAGTTAACCCTTGTTGGCTCCCACACTCCAACTCCCACTGCTTGATTTTTTACACCTTTATAGATTTTGAAGGCCCTTGTGGCATCCAGCAGGAGCTTCTGCTCCAGTCAGGCTCTGAATGCAGCTGGTAACTCCAGCACTGAGCTCCATACCATGAAGCCAAATATTAAAGCATTTCTTCTACTTCTCATTCAAAAAATTGTATGAGGAAGGTGCCACTTAAAATGATTTTTTTTAATTACAGGAAAAAAAACATCAAGATGAAAAAGAAAAGAAAAATTGTTCTTCAATACAGAAAGGAATGCTGAAAAATTCATAGATTGAAAAAACCAAAATATCTCTCCCAAATATACTAATATTTTATACCAATTATTTTGAAGAGCTTAATTTAAATTTTGAACATTCTGAAAAGCTTTTGCCTATTTATGTAACATACATGCCTAAGCAAAAAGCTCTTTTGAATGGAAAACCTGAACTTTGTTTTGAGAACACTGTAATTTTTTCACTTTTCTCTCTACAAAAGAGAAAAATGACCTTTTACTTTGAAAAGCGATAATTGTGATGTATTTTTATTTTCAGTACACAAAGTTCTAACTGAGAAACTTCAGGTCACTCTAACTACATCTACCTTGTTAGTTTGTTCCAGCTAGGTTAATCAGCCTGACTTTTAGAAACGTGTGATTTAATTCTGTCAGGACTTTGCCTGGCTCTCGGTAACGGGGCTAATGAGAATATCACACTGCAAGCTGCATAAGAGAAAGGTTATCTTCTCTGACATATCACATTCAGCACATATAATAATACATTCTCTATTCCATTGATTTGGAGGTTCAGCACTGCAAAAGCTTGAAAAAATATTGGGCATGGCTAGGAGCAGTTGCTGGACAAAGCATGATCTGGGTAGACCTGGTTGGAACAATAGATGTTTTTACCAATGGCTATCAGAACATCTCTGATCTGCAAAGGCACTAAATGGCTTCAAAAGCCACATCTGAGCCTTGTTAAGGTCTATTATTACCTTCCAGGTCTAAGTGTGAAGAGCTTGTCTCTTTTCCAAGCAGTGTCCACCAGCAACACATTCAGCCTGGCTTTCTGTGACACAGTTTTGTGGTTTGTTTTTTTTTTTCTTCCCCCAGAGACAAACTTGGATGGTAATCCAAAAGGAGGATATTTGAACATTTATTTCAGAGACTATTCCATTCCCTTTGTAAGCAAATCCCCTACTTTAATTCCCTTTGCTGTAAGGTTTTGTCTGTACTGCTCAAGGAGAATGATATCCATGTTACTTGGATTATTAAGGATTATATTTCCTTTTAACAGTTTGGAAAACTGACCTAAGTTTCCAAAATGATACAGGTGACCATCTTTACTGACTCAAAGTCAAACTTTCTCTACTTCCTCAAGTCACCTACTACTCATTATTGGAATTCAGAGCTATGGAAGCAGGTATCAACTACTTCTTCTGTTACATTAATAATTTGGGAAGCATTGTAGCTATGAGAATTCCTTAAGTATCTTGTGAAATAGATCTTTTAGAGAAGTCATTATGGCAAAACTGAGTTTTCCATTTTAACTTTTTTTTTTTTCTAGGAGAAAGCTTCTCAGCACCATGTGGATTTCTTGATTAAAATTCAAAAAAGACACAACCAATAAAAAAAGTCCAGTCTGTTCACACCGAGCACAAGATTGTCCCTGGCAGATGTGTTTTAATTTTTTCTTAAGTCTCCTGATCATGGGTGGGATACGGCACACCAGGATCCCCCCACCCGAGCAGGTCAGCAAGAGAACACCTTTGGTGTCCTTTCAGCTTTCTGCTTTGATGCTTTCAGCAACCTTGGGCCAACTCTCAACTCTGAGGAGGACTTTGGCTAAAAGACTCCTGGGTTTAAGAATACGTGCCAGTTTTCATGTAAGTCCCCTGAATCAGGAGATCAGCTGCCTCTCCATCTTTGTGCTTACTGCATTTTGTATAAGGCATTAACTACTCCTTGGGGTAGAACGTGTAATTTTGTCAGGCTGTGAAAAACACTTCTCACCCAATTCCTGTGAAGTCTTTCTTCAATGGGACTCCAAAGACAGCATACAATAGCAAGCCTGAAGCTTAGGCTCAGACTAACCAGAAAGTGAAGGTCTCCATCCTTTTTTGAAAGGATTCTGTCTCAGATGCAGAGGTTCTTCATTGTCTTTAACTCCAAGCAAAAATTAGGTCTCTTGTAAACTACACAAATTAATTAATTAATTCCCCATACATTTCCTTTTGCAGAAAGGTTGGAATATAATCAGAAATATGTTAATGTGCCATTTGCTAATTTCACTCTTATTCCATCTGGGGACAGTAAGATCTTTTCCTCTGATATGTTTTCAATGTTCTTGTCAGAATTATTAGATCTTGAAAAAGAAATAAAGTTTCCTGCTTTTGCAAGTATTTTTTCATTCTTATCCCTGAGTCCCCACATGAGGCAAATCAAGATAAACGGGGTTTTTTTCCCCAATTAAACCAAGACTATTTCAGCTGCTGCTCATGCTCTATCTTCTATAGATATCTGGAGCAAATTTTTATTGTTATTTTTCTTTAAAGATCTTTTCTTGATCATAATTGGATTCTAAAATTAGCCTGAGAGAGGGACAAATTAAATTTTGTGACTTTAAAGATTGGCCTTTCCAACTGTAGGTTGCATTACTGATGCTTGTAAAAATAATATCAGACCATTACCTAACAAAAAAGAAATGAGGGGTCAAAGACACTGTTCTATGACCATTCACTCCCTTCCATTGCTCACATGCAGAGAAACAAATTCTAGCTTAGGACAAATTCAGATCGTTCAGCCTGCCAAGACTACACAAGCAGAAAGCCCCTACCTGGAAAACAATCACCTTGGCCTCCTGGAGAGCTGCTACTTATCCTCTCTAAAACCATGGCAGAGTGCTCACACCATCTGCTGTGGCTAGTCCGAGTGGTTAATTTTCCCTGATTTCCTCCTACAGTCGCTAATGAGAGACTGGCTCCCTCAGATGAAGATTCTGAGCACCTGAATTAGGCTCCCACTCTAGTCCAGGGCCAGGGAGGCTGTTTCTCTCTCTCTCTCTCTCTCCGCTGGCTACAGACAGAGACAGCCAGTGAAGTCAGCTGGCAAAGCATCCACAGCCTCCCACACTCCTCAATGCCATCTAGTATTCAAATAATACTCACAATGAGATTGTCAAAGTCCCAAAATTTGGGCTGTATGTCTGTCACAGTGTTTTCAGAGATTTACATATGCCTCTGGCTCCTGTCCTCCAGGCAACCAGATTACTTTGATAAATTCATATCTATTAATTCATAGCCCCAACTATGCTTCCCTTTTCAAACAAGATGGAGTAGCTAATTAAATGCTCTCCTAAATCATTGGAGATCTTCCTGGCTGCAGAGAAGGAGACAATGAAGAGATGCTTCTGATTATAATTTTTCCCCTTCTCTGACAAACAGATCTATGTGGAGGCCTGCCCCCCAACTCCTGACCTGCTTTGTAAATTCTCCAGAGTTTGTAAGTGGTGTGTGTGCTACATGCAGGCAATATCGCCTGGGGTCTGGAATAGTGGATGTGGATTCAACAGTCAGCTCAGCCACGGGCTTTCCATGTTACTTTGGGAAAGCCATGATGGTTTGCTGTCCCCTATCTCTAAAATAGGGATAATGCTATCGCTCTCCCTTCAAAGTGCCTGTCAGCTGTGGAATCAAGACTTTGTGTTCTTCCTATTTTAATACTTCAGCATTTATTTACTTTTCTGTTTTTTGTTCTGTTCACAATACATTTTCAAGCTTGCTATCAGCAGAGACGCACAATACAGGCTTTAATATTTGAGGGAATTGGTACTGATGGGAGCCCTGTTACAATTTGTTAGGTTTTTATGTTCCATGTAAAAAAAAAATAATAAAAAATAGTGTGCTCAGAATTGGTGAAGTTATTTTTCAAAGCTTTAGTGGAGCTTAAATTATGCTTTGGTCTTGTTCTTCTCAGGGGTGGATTTCACCTGGAGTGAAACAGAATGGCCTGGTTAGTAAGGATATAGATTTCAAATAGTAACTCCTACTGTTTAATGATCACTTAAACTTATGCTATCATGATACATAATGGCTATTTCCCTTGAAGGTTTCCAGCACAGAATTCAGGTTACCTATTACAGAATTGGGAGGGAGCATAGACACTGAGACTGCTTAAAGGTAGAAAAGAAATAGAAGCTCATATTGCATATTACAAGTTAGGAACAGCCCTCCTACACCCCCGTGTTACACTGAGATATTAGCAGTTCCTTTGACTGTGAAATGATGTGGGGAGCATGTCCAACCATGCGTCACTATTGTGTTGATTTTTGCCTTGACAGAAGCACTAATTAGAGCCATGGGCTTTGCTTTGTCCAACGTCATTCTTCTGCATAGACAAAAGAGATTTCTCACACCAACTTACAGAATCAGAATCAGCTGGGAGGAAAAGACTGATTTTTCAACAACACACTCTGAAGGAAATGAAATTTTGCCTTCATTCTCCCTCCAGTTCATAGGAACTTCAATTTCAAACTTCTTAATGAACTGAAAATCCATCAGTTGTCCATCAATTAAACTCCCCCTTCTTTTACACCTTAGTATGATCCACTGTGTTTTTTGAAAGGATGGAAGTAGAGGCATAAATAAATAAATAAAGCCAAAATTAAGAGAACTGCTTTGTTTTGACAGAAATCAAAACATAATTTTTCATTTTGATGACCCAATCAATAACCATGAGCAATGTGAAATCTCTGTAACGAAACTTTTGCTGGCAGACAGTTCTTGCCCACCTCCCTTCCCACTGCTGCCGTGGGGGAAGGCAGCTTTCCTGGAAGGGTGACAGACAGACAAGCCGGTTTGTATTTGTCTTTCTTTCATCCTTCCTGTGGCTTTCTTTGTCTCCATCAGATTTAACGGAGTTAACTCACTCGTGCAGCTATCCATCTCCCCGAGGGACTGGGGAGAGCTGTCTTACCCAGCACCCTGTGCTGCAGGGGCTCACAGTTTCCCACTGAGGAAGAGGAGTGCTCGGGACAGCCCATGTGTGCTCAAGTGAAAGACATTTTTGACAGAGTTCAGCCTGTACAAGTCCAGTAAGTGCGTGTCACCAGTAACTGGCTGGTGACAACAGCCAGCTTCCTCTGCAGGAGGCTTTGGTCAAAAGGCTGGAGGTAACAGGACAAAAGAATAGGACAAATTTCCTTTGGAGAAGAGGGGTCAAGGGACTTACCATGGAGGAGGCTGGAAAACACCAATACAGAATCTGGGGGGGTCTGTGCATGGTGCAGAGCAGCGCCCAGAGCTGTTCACCAGGAGTAGTGATTTCTGATTGCTTTAGATTCAAATAATGAAGGACGTGTGTTTGGGGACTCGGAAATTCTCTCTTCTGTTTTCAATGCAGTTCTGTTTTTTCCCAACTTACTTTTGAGTGTGCCTGGAAATATTTGTTTGGAAGTGTTTAAAGAAAATCTTTACAAAAATGTCTGCTTCCAACATACATTTTTGATATTTTTCTTCCTCCTTTTGCCCTTTGCTGCCAAAACCCAATGCTCAACACAGATATGTATCCTATAAAAAAAAAAAAATAAAAATTAAAGAGTAAAATGGAATATTTCTAGTGACAATGCATGGTGTTGCCACCAGGAGGGTGTACTTTGGATGTGAGGTGCTGTTTTTCTTTTTCTATTTTTTTTTTTTTTCTGGAGACTCTGGACAAATATCTATCTTCTGATACTAGACCTTTCTGCTCTATGTCTACGTTCCAACTCAAGAGAGGAAGCAGCTGCTTATCACAGCAAGCACTGGCCCAAGGCCCAGCTCATTTTTTAAAAAAGTTTTCTTTGAAAACCAGCTCCTGTTGTCAAGGTAGCTCCAGCTATTTGAACAGTGTAATCCAGCACTGCCTGCTCACAGCAGCCCACCCCGCAGCATGGGTGACACCTCGAGCAGGACATCAGAGCCACCAGTGACTTAGCCCGTGGTAAAGTCCTACACTGCAACCGTGTCTTGATTCTCAGCATCCCTTTTTGCAGCGTATTGGATGTTTTGAATTTGTTAGAAAAACTCCCCATTCCAATCAATACAAATGCATGTGAAGAGCCAGGCGGCCTGCTTAGACTTGGAGGTAATGCTGCTTGGATGGGGGGAGAGGACAATTTCCACCTTGTGTGTCTCTGCAAGGTGTCCTGATGGCCATGGGAGAAGAAAGAGGAAAAAAAGATGCAAAAGACACTTCATTCTCCTCCAGGACTGAAAGGATCAATAAAAAGCATCAAGGACTCAATAATTAAAGATGAGATGGAACCCAAGAAGACAAGGTAAGAGACTGACTTTAATTCTTTACCGAATAAATGGCACACCTGGCCGCTGCTCCTACATGCTTCAAACAAAATGCTCCACGCTCCTCACTCCGTTTCCTCAGAATACAAGGAAACCTTTGAATGAAACTACACTTTTATTAAATCATTTCCTTTGAATTTCAGCCACCAAAACGAGGGCAGAGCGCTGGCAGAGACAGGAGCTCTGTGCTTGATGCTTCCACCTCAGCAAGAAGTGCCATCAGGTTGAGTCCCCCCCCTGCCTCTTGCTCCTTGATAAAACCAAGACTCACCACGCTGCAAAGAGCACAACGGGCTGTGTACCTGCACAGTGCCGTGCCGCGCTGCAGGGAGAGCAAACAAGAGCCGAGTCTTTTTCCTTCTGTTGACAATATTATAGATGAATAACGCTGGGCCAAGCGGCAGCCTGCCGGAACGGTGCATTTCAATGCTGAATTGTTTGCTCCACAAACAGGAGTCAGAGCCCAGATAGAACACTGAGAGCTGGACTTTCAGTAATTCACAGCAACACCCCCAGGAAAGGACTTCTGCCCACCCAAGATTATGAGGATGACAACTCAGCAGCTTTTGTCAATATTTGTGTTTGCTTGTTTATCATTTCTTTCAAAGGAAGTTAATTTACCTGAGACATTTTTTTTCTACCCACTCTTGCTCCTTTCTCCTTCCTCCCAATGCCTGAATTAAATTAAACGTCTAATTTTCAGCTATTTAAAATCTTTCAAAATCACTATGGAAAGCTAAATTTCTAGACAGAACACTTTCAAGAGAATAATTCAAAACGCTTCCTTGCAGAAGCATCAAAATAAAATAATTTCAGCTTTTCAAAAAGAAATCCCACTCCCACTCCTCTACATATTTACAGTGGTCAGAAATATTTATCAAATTTTAGATTAATTCTTCACTGAGCCAAAACAAATGAACAGGCAGATTTGTTTGCTTCTAAATGGAAAATCTGGCCAAAAAATTGTTTTGTCCAACCCTAGTTACAGGTCACCCAAGTCATGCAGAGCCTTCGAGGCTGATCAGTGGCTGTGCAGACGGAGAGCCCCTCCTGTGCCCCATGCCCAGGTGGATGGAGAGCTGGGGGATGCACGGGGGGATGCACACCCAGCCATGGTTTGCAACTCTTAACTCCAAGGCTGCTCATTTCAGTCCTCAGTACCCAGGAAGGAAGGCCACATGCTCCGAACAGTTCTACTTTAGGGAGGAAAAGACATAGGGAATATCCATCCCCACAAAAACTAAATCAAACTCAGGATCTTCAACCCAAGAGGGTAACAACCATACAATAAAGAGGAAGAGGAGCAATCACATGATTTGAATGAAGGAATTTGAACAAGAAGAAGTAAGAAACCACTGCCCACAGATTGCTCACAGTTACTCTCATATCTCAGCCCTTCAGCCTGAATTGGTCACATCCTGAAACAAAAGGGTATTATGGCACTCCTGGCTGAAAGCCCACTCCGCTGGCAGTGCTCTTTTCTCTGCCAGAGAAACAGCTTAGTTTATTACTTTTGCCTGTAATAGAGAGATGCTCTGATACTATAGAAGTGTGGAAGTGTAAATAGAGATACAGAACGATACAGACAGATAGACAGACAGACAGAT